CCGCGGGGAGGCGCGGCCTGCGCGCTCAGGGTCCTTCCCCTCCCGCCAGCTCTCCCCGCCGGCGCCGCGCCGCCCGCCTGGCCCTGCCGGGAGCCATGTCGCAGGTAAGCCGGAGCCCCCTTTCCTCCAGGGGCAGCTGTGGCTGCCAGCCCTTCGGGACTCCCTGCCGCGCAGAGCCTCGGGGCTCCCCCGCTGCTCTCCTGCAGGCCCTGGTACTCGGGGGGTGAGAGGGGCCGACCGGCCGCTGTTCCCGTGCGGGTGGGGCTGCTGACCGGGCAGGGACGCCTTAGGGCTTGAAGGTAGGGAGCCAGCCGTTACTCGAATGAGAAGTGCTTTGCTCTGTGTCTCGTGCTCCAGCTGCCCTTGGTTCATGTAGTCATCGTGTTTTTATTGAGCATCTACTTTCAGCACCTGTACCCGGTCTCAGAGGGTGATCCCTGGATCAGCAGGATCAGCATCACCTGAGAACTCATTAGAAATGTATGTTCATGAGCCCCACCCCGCACCTAAACCAGAAACTGGGTGTCTGGTTCAGCAGCCTGTGTTTTAGCAGCTCCTCCAAGGGATTCTAATGCACGACCCAGTCCAGGTCTTGGGGATGTAGCAGTGAGCAGAAAAAAATCTCTGAACTCACAGAGCTCGTTTTCCAGACATGACATTACATTTATTTAGCAAGGAACACTTTTGTTTCGGTTGTGGCTAAATACCAGGCAGGCATTCCTGCTTCCCAGAGGTGGATAAGAAGGCCAACCATTCCAAATTAGTCTTCTGTTTTTAGTTCCACTTCTCTGTCTTACTTTTTGTCTTACTTGTCTACAAATCCAGAGCTCTCCGAGTTTTGCTGAGGAGTCCAAGTTGCAAATCCCACTGTTTACTCTAGGAAAACGGCTTCTTTCTCTGTTACTCAGTACTCTTCATAAATTAAAAAAAAATTTTTTTAAACTGTAAAGTATAACTTTGCCATACATTTGGGGCCGTTACTAGTTTGGGACCTTTTAAAATTCCTTTTTGTGCCTAACAGTTCTATAGGTCACTTAAGCCGTTCAAAACTAGGGGCTGCTTACTCCCTCTGACCCTGAGGGAAGAATTGTTAGGTTCCTTGGAGGGAGGTGGTCCCTTCCCTCCTCAGGAGGTCCTGATACTTGACTGCTTGTCTTTGTTCTGTGACATCGCTAGAACAGCCTTTGAGTTTCACAGCTATTTCTTCAGGAATGGGATGGTGTGATAAGCTCAAGAGTGCATGCCCCGTTGCAAGGGCGCCGCTGCTGTCTGCTATAGCCAGTTGTTATCAAGAAGAAATTCTTGCCAAAGCCTATAAAAATAGGCTGGTATTAAGGACAGTACCCATTGCCTATTAAACACAAAGAATTGTCTTTATTTTTACAACCAAAGCCAGAAATTCATGCTGTTCACATGCATCACTCTGACCTTTCACATACTTGTAAATCATCTCAGGACAAGTCACATATATTTTTCCTTCTTTTTTTCCATTATAGAGCAAAACAGAATAGCTCTACTTTTAGTTATACTCTCAGTAATCACTCAGAATTCTGAAAACTCCCATTGCCCCTGCTTATATACACTGCCCACTCTCGTCTCTGCAAGTCATTTTATTCCTTCGTCAGGGCTTTGGGGAGCACCGGTGTTCGTTGTGCAGATGCCTATATGTCATTTCAGGGGTCAGTGACATTCAGAGATGTGGCCATAGACTTCTCCCAGGAGGAGTGGCAATGGCTTCAGCCTGCTCAGAAAGACTTGTACAGACGCGTCACGCTGGAGAACTATGGCCTCCTGGTCTCTCTGGGTAAGTGTCCCCCTCACCTCCCTCTGTTAGAATGCGCCTTCTAGTGTGGCTGTTGTGAATCTTGATTATCTGGCTGAATATTCCCAAGGGAGGTATTTTTTTAATATTAGTCTTTTTTTAAACTTTATTTTTATTGTTGACACTATAACGGATGTCCCCAATTTCCCCCCTTTGCCCACCTCCACCCAGCCCCCATTTCCCCTTTACTCTGGTCATTACTACATTGTTGCCTGTGTCTATGGGTTTTTATTAGTTTTTTTAAATGTTTTTATTGATTTTCAGAGAGGAAGGAAGAGGGATAGAGAGATAGAAACATCGATGAGAAAGAAACATCATCCATCGGCTGCCTCCTGTACGCCCCCCACTGGGGATCGAGCCTGCAACCCATATATGTGCCGTGACTGGGAATAGAACCCAGTGACCTCCTGTTTCCTGTGTCAGTGCTCAACCGCTGAGCCATGCCGGCTGGGCTTTATTAGTTTTTAAGATGGGGATTGTAACTCTACCTAATCTTTAGACACCTTTTATACTTATATCTGGCATTTCTTTTAATGGTACCTCTTTTCTGAGGATTCAGGAACTGACTTTGAATTTATTTTCTGCAAGCAGGTTTTAACATTTCTAAGCCAGATGTGGTTTCCTTATTGGAGCAAGGGAAAGAGCCCTGGCTGGGGAAAGGAGATGTGAAAACAGATTTCTTTTCAGGTGAGTGAGTTAGTTTCTCCTCTGTTATGTACTTCCTGCTGTGTCTGCCTCTGCAGCCAAGCAACAAGGAGATGAGAGAAAAAGGAAAAAAATTACCTTTAAATGGGTATCACATTTAGGTCTGTGATCCATTAAATTTTGTGAAGCGTGTAAGGCTTGTGTCTGGATTCATTCTTATGCATGTGGATGCACAGTGTTAGCATTATTTATTGAAAGGATTATCTTTCCTCCTTTGTAAAAGCACAGCTGACCGTAATTATGCCAGTATATTTCTGAGTTCTCTACTTGGTTCATGGGTCTGTGTGCCTTGATTATTGTAGCTTTATAACAAGCCTTGGAGTCAGGTAGCTCAGTCCTCTGACTTTGTTCTATGGCAATAGTCATTTCTTTCTCTATATAAACCTTAGAATCATTTTGGTGAGATGAATAAAATACTTTTTATTTGGATTTCACTGAACATATAGATCAGCTGGGGGAGAACTGACCTGTTGACAATATTGAGTATTCCTGTTTATGAACAGAGACTGTCTCCATTTGGTTCTTCGTTGAGGCCTTTCATCAGAGTTTCATAGTTTTCCTCATATAAATCTTGTACATGTTTTGTTTTTGGGGGGGTTGTATTTTATGTTTGAGGATTGCTAATTATAAATGGTAATGTGTTTTTAATTTCAACTTCCATTTGTGTATTGCTAGAATGTAGGAAAGTTTTGACTTTTGTGTGTTAACTTTGTATTGTACAATCTCGGTGTACACACTTACTAGTTCCAGGAGTTTTTTAGTAAATTTTTTTCTGATTCTTTGCATAGACAGTAGTGTCATCTGTGAAGATCACTGCTTAGATATATATTAAAGAAATATGAGGTCTTTTTATTTTTCCCTAGAAGCATGCAGTTGGTGATTATAAAAGGCAGCATTCCCTCCAAACAAAATAAATGTCAGTTATGTTAGAGAAAATGAAATTTTTAATGGGTAATATGGAAATAATTTTAAACTGTCATAAGAGTTGCAAGACTGGTACAGAGAATACCCATATATTCTTATTCCTATTCACCTTTTGCAAACATTTTGCCCGATTTTTTTAATCATTTGGTATATGATTTTTTTTGGAGACATTTGAGCATAAATTGTATACATCATGGATTTTTAACTGTATATATTTCATAAGAGTAAGGATATAAAATAATATATATATTTAATATTTATAATATATATTTAAAATAACACTTATTATATTTATAACAATATTTCATGTTATTATAAAATTCCCCCCAATGATAAAGTCTTTTTTTTAATTTAGCCTGGTGCTCTTGCTGGTGTTGCTCAGTGGTTAGAGCCTTAGCCTGCGCACCAAAGGGTCTCGGGTTTGATTCACAGTCAAGGGCACGTACCTGGGCTGCAGGTTCGATCCCAGCCCTGGTTGGGATGCATGTGGGAGGCCACCAGTTGAAATGTGTCTTTCACATTGATGTTTGTTTTCTCTCTCTCACTCTCTCCCTTATCTCTCCCTCCCCGCTCCCTCCCTCCCACTTTCTCTCAAAATCAATGGAAAAATATATCCTTGGGTGAGAACCAACAACAACAAAAAACTTAGCCTGGAGAAAACTGGGGACTAGGTCTGTCAGAAGCATCTGATAGGCTGTTATATCAAAGTTGAGCTTCAGATATCAGTTTGAAAAGTAGAGTTAGAGTGAGCATCATAGAAGTTGGTCTTCAGGGAAACCCTTTATTTATTTATTTAGAATAAGTTACTGTAAGATATTCCAAAGGCACTAGGTGAACAGTCTGATGTCTCTGTGGGTCCTGAGGAGCACTTGCAGCTCATTAGCACTATGAAAATTTCATTTTTATGTCATTCTGGCAGCAAATAAATGGAGGTGAGCAAGACTAACAACGTGTCCTTCCCAGTTACTTACCTTCTTCATAGTTCTATTTTCCCCTAACTTTCAGTTACTTATATTTAATCTTTCTCCCTCGTCACCTAAATCTCTCTGCTGTTTGATGTCTTTTGAATTTCTGGGCAGAATGCTTAGATTTCAAAGCCACTTATGACAAATTTGAAAGCAACGAAATAGTAAGTTTCTTTTCCATTTTAATTCTCTCAAAAAAAGGAAGAATGGCTTTTATTTTACTCAATACAGAAAATAAGAAACATTGCTTTGTTTTTTCAGTTTCAGAGTCAAATGGTGAGATCAGAGAGTTTTCTCCAAAAAATGTCATATATGAAGATGATTTATCCCAGTATGTGATAAAGGAAAGGGATCTGAGCCAAGACCCTGAACATTCCAGTTTTAAAGGAGACTGGAAATGTGAGGATGTTACTGAGATGCTACAAAGAAATCGGGGATGTATCAGGCAAGTGACAGTCTCTCATCAAGAAGCCCTGTCTCAACATAGTGTCAATACTGTGGAGAGGCCCTATGGGTGCCATGAATGTGGAAAAACTTTCAGTCGGCGCTTTTCCCTTGTGTTACATCAGAGGACTCACACAGGAGAGAAACCATATGTATGTAAGGAATGTGGCAAAACGTTTAGTCAAATCTCAAACCTTGTGAAACATCAGATGATACATACGGGAAAGAAACCCCATGAGTGTAAGGACTGTAGTAAAACATTCAGTTACCTTTCATTCCTCATTGAACACCAGAGAACACATACTGGAGAGAAACCCTATGAGTGTACAGAATGTGGAAAGGCCTTTAGCCGTGCCTCAAACCTCACTCGACACCAGAGAATTCACATAGGAAAGAAACAGTATATATGTAGGAAATGTGGGAAAGCCTTCAGCAGTGGCTCAGAACTTCTCCGTCATCAGATTACGCACACTGGAGAGAAACCTTACGAGTGCAGTGAGTGCGGGAAGGCCTTTCGCCGCTCTTCTCACCTGACTCGACACCAGAGCGTTCATACGACCAGAGTCCCCTATGAGTGTGGAGAGTGTAGGAAGGCCTTCCGCTGCCACTCATTCCTTATTAAACACCAGAGAATTCATGCTGGAGAAAAGCTCTATGAATGTGATGAATGTGGCAAAGTTTTCACTTGGCACGCATCTCTCATACAACATACGAAAGTTCATACTGGAGAGAAACCCTATGCCTGTACTGAATGTGACAAAGCCTTTAGTCGGAGCTTTTCCCTCATTCTACATCAGATAACTCACACTGGGGAGAAGCCTTATGTATGTAAGGTATGCAATAAATCCTTCAGCTGGAGCTCAAACCTTGCGAAACATCAGAGAACACACAATCTAGAGAACCCCTATGAATATGGAAATTCATTTAATTACCACTCATTCCTTACTGAACACCAGGGAATTCTCACTGTTGAGAAAACCTAAAGATGTATGCATTTAAAAATATAGCAGCTAATGCCTTACTTTGACTTCAGAGCCTTATGTGAATGTGTTGAAATGTGAAGATATGTGGTCCATACCTGGAGGAAAACTCCTAGGAATATGTGGGAATTGGAATGTCAGGAAGTGCACTCAGCATGAAGAATCTTCTTCTGGAGGGTTCCCTTTACATGGATAGGTTCCCACCAGGAAAGGGGTACAAGTTCAATGTGAGGGAGGAAGCTTTTAATTAGAGATTAGCTCTCATCTTGCATTTGTCTGCTCAAGCAGGACAGAATGCATGGGTAAGGGTGCACTTTTTCCTGGATATCAGAAAATTTATAATGAAGCAGTCATACATAAAAACACAGTGATTTGGGAATGCCTTCATGGACCATGCATTCTTTATTAAAATTTAAAATACTCTTTTAAGGAGAAAAAACATCCTTGTAAATGAACTGAATATAGGTTGGCTTTCTGCAATATTTTAAATGTACAGAATTATACTGGGGGGAAAGTAGCATTGTAATGGGTGGGGGAAAGTCTTAGAGCTCTGAGAAGTCATACCGGAGGGAATCAGTGTGGGAAAGTTTTGTGTTTTTTTTTTACAGAGGAGATGTTTGTTTTGGTCATTTTAAAAAAGCAAATTCTGAAAAGAGCTATAAATAAATCTTTTGACTTATAGTTAATCTGGTACTTGCTGAGTTTTCCCCCCACAGCATATGATTCTGAAAATGCAACGATCACAATATTGACATCAGCGAGAGTAGTGTGCTTCTGTGGAAACATTATACAAACATAATTATAGAAACATTTTTAGTTGTCTTATGGTTTTAACTGAGGTAGTGTTTGGATTTAAGGTTATGTTAACTCATGTTTATCCTTGAATCTGACTAGACATGACTTAGAAATAAATGTAAATAAGGTATATCAGGAAATTTTTAAGGTAGTTTTCCTCTTTTGTTGCATTTACAGCGAGAACATTTATTTTGTAAGCCTATACTTGTGAAAATAAATCATATTATGTTCACTTTCATGTACAACTTGCCCATTTTTTAATGCCCCAGGTAAATGTTTATCTTTGAAGCAACTGACTGCCTCTTCTAAGAACTTTCCTCACATATAGTGTGTATAATATACAATTTAGTACTTGAATAAGTTCCTCATTTCCTCATGTATATGTAAATCATTCACAAAACAAGAGGCTAGCATTTGTCTTTCCCATTCAGTGTGGCAACAGAACACGTAGCTGCTGCTGAGGAATTACTTTTCTAGAATTACCCAACGCCTCAAACTATAGAATAGTTTTGTTGCACAAATCCTCCCTTTCCTATGGTATAGCCAGCATCGTTACTCTCTCCAGCCCTGGGGGGGGGGGTCCTCTGGTGACCAAGAATGTATTTGTCATTTCAGAGGTTTGTAACATTCAGGAATGTGGCCATAGACTTCTCAGGAGGGGTGGGGCTGACTGGACCCATTCAAAAGAGTCTATATGGGAATGCAGTGTTGCAGAACTATGGGAACCTTGTCTGAAGAGGTTACCATTCCTCCAAATTCAGAATCTGAACTTAGGTATATTTTTTATTTCCATAGGAATTATTAGGGGGTGGGTTCTAAATTGCATGGCTGAATTCCTATTCCATGTTCTTGAGATGACTGAAAATGGGCAGAAGTGGGAAGTGGATGCATTTTCCTCCTGCTCTTGTTTTTGTAATTAATAGCTTTTTCCCCCTTTACTAAAAGATTGGGTCTGGAGCCAAGAAAAACTGTATTTTGAAGTATCTATTTTCTCTCTCTTGTAAGCAGGACTTTCTATTTCTAAACCAATGTGACCTCCTTATTGGAGCAAGGGAAAGAGTGATGGAGAAAAAAGTGAAGACAGGCCTCTGACCAGGTAAGTGAAGGGCAATCCTGCAGGCAGTGCCTTTACAGGTAGTTTAGCTCACAGATATATTACCTGAATTATTTTGTCAAAAATAAGAACTTTCTCCTCCCTCCATGCAACCTCATTTTAAACTACATAACTCATCCAAAAAGTCTTCTTCTTAATCTGTGGCAGGATATTTTAGAAAGTGAGAACTATTATTTTTACTTAACCTAAAATACAGATAACTCCTAGATTATACAGTTAAAGAGATGTCAAAACACTCTTGCCACTGAAAGAAGAAAATGAATTGATTGGATGTTTTTGTTTATACAGTATGCTTTATTTGTCATTGCAAGAAGGTACTGGTGAGGTTTATAGTTGCTTTCACTTGATTTTACACGTAAATCTGTTATATCTTTCCATATTTAACACATCATTTGTTATAAGCTGTGGTGCTTTCCAAAGGTAGAAGATAATAAAATTTACCTGTTTTTCAAGATGAAACTGTATGTACATAGAATACAGTCTGACAGAATGCAGTCATATACAGTGTTACATTTGTATGTCAGTAAAATCTGAGGAGGGAAGATTTCCCTTGTGTAGAGCAGAGGTGGTTTATATTTTTCTCACATGCATGCATTAGTTTCATAATTAAGAAACACCAAGAATAAAAAATAATAAAAGGATACTGTGGCAGCTGCATAGAAAACAGATTGGAACAAAGTGAGATTTGAGTCAGGGAAACCAGTCATGAGGCTGTTGCAATAAAATCCAGTTGAGACGTGTTGGATGAGACTGAGCCTGAGTCTGCAGCTGCTGGCCTGCCAAGATTTTGGTATACTCAAACTTGCACATAAATCTCAACCCCCAACCAAGCAGAGCATAACCACTCTTTCTGAGTACCACTTATGGTACTCTTTTGCAAGGACTACAATTGTACACCGAACATAAAATATTTAACTCTACTTATCTTGGCAGTTTTTTTGTTTTTCAAAAAAACAAATGTTACTGTATCTAATATACTGTTAAGAAAATCAGTAAGCTCTTTTTCCCCACATAAAAAGATGTCCAGATATAACAGTGCAGTGCTAATACAACTATTTAAAGATGTCTTTGAAGAACCAGGATCTTCTATTCATCCTTAGGCCACAATTATTCTCATAGTCACAAGATTTCTCCTTCAGCTCTAGGAACGGGACACTCAAAGAGAGAAGAAAGGAAGGCAGAAAGGCAAAATGCACAAGGCAAACAGGGAAAAAAGGCAGGTCTGTCACTAGTGACACCATCTGGATATGGTTACACTTGGCTGCAAGGAGGCTGAGAAGAGCTTTGTAACTGGACATATTGGTATTGTGAGCCAAAATAGGACTCCAGGAGGGAAGGATGAGCTTGTTTAATTGGCTACAGCCCTATCTGCCACAGCAGATCAGAAAGCAACTCTCAATAAAGTGTTATCGTCCAAATACTCTCAGCGTAATGCAACTAACTTAGAAATCAGTAACAAGGTAACTAAAAACTTTGCCTCACATATTACAAATACATGATTCTAAATATCTGTGGATCAAAAAGTCATAATACACATTTAGAATTAAACAAATTAACATAGACCGATATGTTACGTAGCTAAATGAATGTTTAGAAGACTGTATGTAGCCATAAATGCTTATTTTAGAGAACAAAGACTAAATAATGAATTTGCAGTCCACCTTAGGACACTGGAAATGGTGACTTCACATTCAGAACACACAGGGATTCTCTTCCAGTATGAATCCGCTTGTGTATAACAAGTGAAGAACTCTGACTAAAGGCTTTTCCACACTGGATACACTCATAGGGTTTCTCTCCAGTGTGAGTTCTCACATGTCTCCTAAGGGAAGAAGCAGCACTGAACGTTTTCCTACACTCCTCACACTCATAGGGTTTCTCTCCTGTGTGAGTTCTCATGTGCATTCTAAGGGATGAGAGACCACTAAAACCTTTCCCACAGTCACTGCATTCATAAAGGTTTTCTCCAGTGTGTATTTTCTTGTGAACTTTAAGGTGAGAGCTTGTGTTGAAGGCTTTTCCACAGTAACTGCATTCGTAGAGTTTCTCTCCAGTGTGTATTCTCTTGTGCACTATAAGATAAGAACTTGTTCCAAAACACTTTCCACAGTGATTACACTCATAAGGTTTCTCTCCAGTGTGAGTTCTCACATGGGCCTTAAGAGATGTTTTTTGACTGAACGCTTTCCCACACTGATGGCATTCATAGGGTTTCTCACCAGTGTGAGTTCTTACATGTCTCCTTAGGGTTGAGGAATCATTGAAGACTTTCCCACATTCTTTACATTCGTATTGCTTCTCACCCATGTGACTTCTCTTGTGCAAAATAAGATTAGAAGTCCTTTTGAAGGGTTTTCCACACTGATTACATTCATGTTTCTCTCCATTAGGAGACTGCTCCTGTTGTTTAAGGGATGAATGACAAAAAGTTTTGTTTTTATTGCATTCATAGGAATTTCCCTCCAAATGAAAATTGTTATGTAAAGGAAGCATATTATGTTTGAAGTATATACCATGTTTAGAACATGTGTACTCTTTTTGTGCTGTTTGAGTTTGTTCAAGATGCCACAGAGTTCTGTCATATTCATGACTTTCACAGAGCTTCTCACTCACAGAGTTTTTCTCATAATTGTTTAGGATTGAATTATGCTTCAAGCACTCAATACTTAAGTAACAGTTATGGCAGTGTTTGCTGGTGGAAACTCTCTTTGAAAAAACAAGTTTTGATCTAAGTTTAGAGTTTCCCTCTAATTCATGATAGTCATAGAATCTCTCCTGATACGCTGTTTTCTTTTGGGTAAATGTCATTTGCTTCAAATTACCCTCTGGGATCTTGTGCTGTTTTCTGATCTTATGGCATTCCCAGTCTTCTCTTAATGTGGAAGACCAATCATCCATCATGAATCTTACCATTTTACCACTGGATGTTTTTCCCCAGTCTAGATAGGTGCCCTTGGGAATCATTCTTTTCATAGCTCTCATCTCATCTTGACCCAACTGGGAGATCACAGAAAACTTGCATAATTGACATGTGACTGAGGTGAGATTTATGTAGTTTTCTAACATCACATCTCTGTACATACTTCTCTGAGCAGAGTCCAGCATCATCCACTCCTCCTGTGTGAACTCCACAGCCACATCTTTAAAGGTCACCGGTCCCTGTAACCAGGTTCCTGAAAACCCAGCCACCATCCTTTCCTCCTCAGTATTTCTAACATAGAAACAGGCAGAGTCCTGGGCAGTCAAAGCCCATATGGGGGATAGGTCAACAGCTGCCATCTTAAGAGTCTGGAAGTAACATCTGCAAGCACAATAGGGTAAAGAGATCAGAATATTTCTTGTCTTGTTCCTCTGATCCAATCAGGGCAAGGCTGCATTTCACTGAGCATCTTCCCTGTGAGTGAAGAGGCAGGTTCAGTTAAAAGACGGTGGAAATGGCCCATGAGAGGCAAGGTAACGAAGTATAGCCTCCTCCCTCCCTCCCTGAAGGTCTGGCCAGCTGAAGTCTTTACTGCAATAGTCACCCTTGGCCACCCTCTACAACTGTCACCTTGGTTACTTATACTGACTTCTGCAGACTGCTTCTCAGCCCTGGGTGGAAGGAGCATGCATCAATACAAAGAAGTTAAGGCTAAAGAGAACCCATAAAAAAAGGCATAGTTTAATTAAATTTCATGCATACTTTGTTACTTTTTAATTTTTTTTGGAATTGAAAAATAATTTTCCTGCTTAAAACAACTGTTTTTAGATAAATTCATTTATATCTACATTTAGCTTGGAGCTGAATAACCTCACATGTGCTTAATAGGACTGATGATATGGCTGTTACCTTAAGAATTGATAAAGGTAAATATGCAACTTTGAAACAAACATTCATTTGATTATCTCTATTTAATCTCTTTCCCCAAAGTCCATACTTCCTTTTGATTAATTAGTCTATGTTAAACTTGAATGGGAGCAACAAAGAAGCATGAATTATGTTCCAAGCTTTGAGAGTGAGGCCTGAACAATATTAGGTGGTACAGAACTTTCCTGAATAATTTTTACGGTAGCTTTAAAGTAAAAAACAAAACAAAACAGCATACAAAAGATGGATGCTTGGAAACTTTAAGGATCACAGCAAATCATGTGATAATTTATTATGCTAATATTTTTACAGATCCCACTTTTTGAAGGTTAGATGATAACCTTCAAATGCAACCCTTTATCAGTATTATACTTTAAGAGTTCAGTTTTAATGGACAAAAATTATAAAACTAGCATTTTAATTTAGACAGGTTTTATGTCCTTAAACCAGAAACACATATAACTGTTACTTTAGTGTATGTTATATAGAAATAGATTTGCCTGAAAGTAATAGGATTATAATCCTGGGAAAAGGAAACAGGGATCCAACACAGAGATGAGACAAGGGAATGGATGAGGGTAAGGGAAGTCCCAGGAGGCCAGCGTGCTGCATTCCCAAAGATAACTGATCAGCTGTGGCTGGGTGCTCAGTCGGTTGGAGCATCACCCCAAACACCAAAAAGTTGGTGGGTTCAGTTCCCCGCCAGGGCACATACCTAGGTTGCAGGTTCAGTCCCCAGTCGGGGTGTACGGGAGGCAAATGACTGATGTTTCTTTCTCACATTGGTGTTTCTCCCTCCCCCCACTTTCCCTTCCTCAAATCAATAAAAACATACCCTTGGATGAGGTAAGGAAAGAACTGCTGAGGCTACATCAGTGATTTTCAGCCACTGTGCCACCAGGCCTTGTAAGACATGCAACACCTGACTATTTAATCAAGGGCACGGACCTCTTTTCCTTTAGATGGTTAAATAAGATGACAGCAGCAACACAACAATAGCCATTGATGTGAGTGAATCAACATTATACCTATTTTTTGGTCAGATCAGCAAAAAGCCTATTTTTTGGTGTGCTGAATTTTTAGTAATTAGTCTATGTGACATGAGATGGAAAGGTTGACAATCGGTGGTCTGGACAGTAGAAGGCAGGCAGGCTCCTGGGGATTGTGTTCAGGAAGAGGGAAAAATGGTTAGATTTTACGATGGGTTTTTACCTTCAGGAAAAATGTATCAAAAGGCATTTTACATGGGCCAGCACTGAGAAGAAACAGGGCTTCCTGTTTTTATTATGTGCCTTTTAACATGAGACTTAAAAAAATGTATATACACATTTCTTGGAAAAGAAATTATTGAGAAAATAATTTTTAAAACAATCAAATCAAGAATTAGAAAAATAGCCCGGCCAGGCGTGGCTCAGCGGTTAAGCATCGACCTAGGATCCAGGCAATCAGGGTTCGATTCCCAGTCAGGGCACATGCCCGGGTTGCGGGCTGCAGCTGATCAATGACTCTCTCATCATTGATGTTTCTAGCTCTCTCTCTCCCTCTCCTTTCCTCTCTCTGAAATCAATAAAGATATATTTAAAAAAAAAAAGAGAAAAATAGCAACAAAGTAAAGTTTAAGAACTGACAGCAAAAATTAGAGAACAGAAAACCAAAATACAAAGACATAAGCTAAAACCAGAGAACAGACCACAAAAATGAACCCAAATCTGCTTCTTTGGAAAGAATAATGCAGATACAGATCTTATAGGATGAATCAAGGAAGAAAAACTGATGACCCAGATAAATATACTAAAAATGCTACAATTACAGCATTTAGTGATTTTTAAATATCATTAAAAAGCAGTCATTTTAAAAATCATTGTAAAATAGCATGAACAGCTTGATACAAACAAACTTAAAATTTCAGATCAGATGAAAAATTTTCTGGAAAAACTTGTGGCCAAAATTGACTAAGACTACAAAACATAAATCAGTCAACTACCGTAAAACATTGGATCAGAATTACAGTATCTACCCCTGAAGATTTTAAGCCCAAAGCTTTTAAGGGAAAGGCTTGTAAAAACTTCTAGGACAATACCAAGGAGCGTACAAAGAAAGAGTAAAGTGCAATCATAATTCTGAGCCTGAAAAAGCCGTACGTGAAGTATTAATACACTGAACACGGCCGTGCACCGGGCTGATGCTGCCGCGCTCGGGCTGGGAGCCGCGGAAACGCTCGGCACAAACGCAGTGTCGGCCGTCTGCCCGTCACGCCTGCGGAGCTCCTGGGACCGGCACATCTGCAAGTTTCAATGTGTCTGAATGATGGCCTTTCAAAGACCATAACCAGGCCACTGTCACACCGAATAAATTAGTAATTCCTCAATATCAAATATATAGGCATTAACATTTTTATCTCATGCTTTAAAAAATGTTTTCTTCCACTCATGGTCCACATAAGGTTCATACAATATTTTTTTCATTGCTCAATTTCGAGTCTTTCAAGGTTTGCCTTCGATAAATTATATCACTGTGACGCCATCATTAACAGATTAAGGGATTAAGACCGCCCGGAAAACTGGGTAAAGAAATTCGTGTACCCGGGGCGCGCCGCGTCACAACCCAGCCTGCTCCAGCCTCCCCGG